TTTAGGATAAATAACTAACTCAACTTACTTCTTTAATCTCTTCAAATTAGTTAACTGGTTTTTATAATTAGGATCGGAGATAGTATATCAATAATAATACTACCTCCGGTTCTTAATATAAGATCCTATTTGACTTTTATTTTGGTTTTAAGTATAAGATCCTAATCTGCTTTGTCTCTCATATTTATTTGATTTTTTAAGATAATTTTTCTAATAATTATAGTTCTAGTTAATACACTTAATTAGTAAGGATATTTTAGAAAAGACAATACTTATTTAGGATAAATAATTAACTCAACTTACTTTCTTAATCTCTTCAAATTAGTCAACTGACTTTTATAATTAGAACAGGAGGCAGTATGATAAACGTATAATTTGTATCTGAAGATATCTGATAAAAGCCATTTCCGAGGATGAAAATAGTGCTGTTCATCTGTCTATTCCCGCATCACATGGGTGGACACATTTTATTAGACATGGGCTTGGCATTAACGAGGTGCATCTGGGTTGTGGGTATTGTGGACCAGGAATGCGTCCCCTAGAACATCACCGTATTGATCAAGAAATACTTTTACTAAGTTTTTTTTTCTTCATAAATTGAAATAAATTTTTTTACATATTTATTTCATATACTGTAAAAGTATTTTTAAAGTTATAATTTTATTTTTATCCAAACACTACTTACATGTAAATAGGCATGACGTTGACATGATACTCCTCCGGTCCTAATTATAAGACTCAATTGACTTATTTGAGGAGATTAAGGAAGTAAGTTAAGTTGGTTATTTATAATAAATAAGTGTTGTTATTCCTAAAATATCTTTGCTAATTAAGTATATTGGCTAAAACTATCATTATTAGAAGGATTATCTTGGAAAAAAATGCATAAATATAAGAGAGAAAATAGATTGGGTCTTATAATTAAGACCAAATAAAAAGTCAAATTGGGTCTTATAATAAGGACCGGAGGAGTAATTGATATATCCTCCACCTGATGCATTGTCTGGTGGTTTTCTCGAAAGCCAAAGCCGGCTGTGTCTACTCTGTTTTTCCTTTTCTGATTCCAAGAAATGGATCTATGGAAAGCCACAGCAGATCAAATGGAGAAGGTCGCTGCGTAGTTCTTGTTCTGCAGAATACCCATGCATCCTCCTCTTCCAATCTTAGTAGTTACTGCAACTATCAAAGGACGGAAAGGCGAAACGAAAAAGAGTTTCAATGTCTTGTACCTCAACGAGTCCCCTCTTTATTCTTTTTGAGAGGACAAGAGGAGGTGCCCTTTTTCTTTACCTTTTTTTTTTACTTCTTAAAATAAAGTTCTGTATGACAAAACTTACACAAAAGCAGAGAGTATCAGATTTGTTCATCCAAGTCCACTCATCTCTTAAACCCAGAAAGAGGGTTACTAGAGTACAAAATACTACTCCTTCCCTTCATTTTGTTTTGTACCATATCATGTTAACTATTTTCATGAAATTAACAAAATTAGTTAAAGTTACCTAAATGAATAATTGACCTTACAAAGCAAAGAACCGTGCCTCACAGCTAGTCCCAAGCACCTAACGACTTCTTTTCTTTTCTTTTTTCGGGAGATAAAGTTTGCATGGACATTGGTGAACCCGGCAAGCTGGCAAATTAATGGATTGGAATAGAATAATAGATTGGTCCACACATGCTGCCTTGATTTCATTTATAACTGTAGGCCTTGCCTGCGTGGCTCTTTTCACGTATTCCAATCCTCTGGCTGTCAGCCGTTTGGTTGAACTATTTTCTCCCTTCCTTCTTTTTGTCAATCGTTTATGTCAATCCTCCGGCAAATTCGCTGGGACAGAGGAGATATATGTACGATGTCCGAGTTTTTATTGTTTTTGCTGAAACTATTAATTTACTTATTAGATCTGATTTATTTTAGAGATACCGTTGATCAGGCTAGAATGATTTTGTACAAAAACTCGAATGTTTCCAATTTAAACCTCATGTGTGCTAATTTTGTGCCTATTTCTTGGTTATACATGCGGAGGATTGGTAGACAGTTTTAGAACTCTCTGATCAATCACCGACTCACTGTATTAAGGTCGTAGCCGGTACAAGGAGACTGTCTTAGGTTGTTTGTATGTTTTGTAATCTTATTCTATCGATGAATACGCGTTTTCATTGAAAAAAAAAACTCAGTTTTGTTATGTTTTCTATTATATTTTTTTCATGTTTCAATTTGACTGATGACTTTTCTAGCATATCAATACATGTACCTCAGTGAAATGGATGAATTCGAAATTCTGAGTGATGTTGACAAAATTTGATGTCAAGGTCTCATGTGTGACCAGGGAGGCTCATTTGTGAGCCATATGAGACCCTCCTACCATACGATGCGAGACATTTTTATTTAAATTACTACCTCAGATCTTTAATATAAAAATTTGCCTAATTTTTATTTTGATCCTAAATATAGGATTCTAATTTATTTTGTCTCTCATATTTATTTTTTTTTAAAGACAGTTTTTGTAATAATAGTAGTTTTAGTAATACACATTGTTAGCAAAAATATTTTAAAAAAGATAATACCTATTTATTATAAATAACTAATATAAATAATTTTCTTAATCTACTAAAGTTAGTTAACTAGCTTTTATATTAAAGACTGAGAATAGTATAAATTAAACTATTAATGGTCACAATTATAATAACTAGTGATGTAATAATAACCGAAAATGTAAAGAGGGTGGACGTCTTGAAGGCTCATGGAAAAACAGAACGAAGAAGAATGCGGCCGGTCATCTTTGTATGGCGTCACTCATCATAATTAACTGCAAGGAAGGATAAAATAAAAAAACGATATAAATATTATCACCATATCTTGTATATTTTGGATCAGGCAAAATTGAAAGAAAATAACTCACTTTGTGGAGTGGAATAATAACTATCAAATAATACTTACCCAAGTATATTTGATATTTTTGGAACTAATTCTATTGTTGGTATAATCACTTTACGTCTAATTTCCTCTGGGGAAAAAGCTTTTACTATGTTATCAAAAAAAGAAGAAGCTTTCACTACGTTTTCTACTATTCTTCTTCCCTTGAAACATTTGATGAAATATTAATACTGAAAAAAAAAAAGTGAGGAGCATGTGGAAGAATTTAGAAAGTGAAGGCTGCAAAGAAGATGAAAATGGGTGAAGAACATCTGAGAGTCCGAGTCAAAGTCAATATCGAGAGGAATTTTCTCTTCTTTTTTTTTTTGGGGGGGGGTGTTTGGCCACAAGAAAAAGGAAAGTTACCTGTAAATCGTGCTCAACGTTAGGCCCAAAAAAAAAGGGAGTAACGATCTGGTACTTTGTTTGTTTCCCTTGAAAAGAAACCTATCTCTTTTCATGGCATGTTCGTACTTTTTTTTTTTTGTGGCCGCATTTTCTCTGTTTATACCCTAATTAGAAGACTCTATTTTTAGTTTATAAATGAGCTCTTATAATTAAAACTGAAAGTAGTATTTTTATTTAGTAAGTTTATTTCCTTGAGCAATAATCGTTACTGAGAATGCATATTTGAGATGCTGGACGATAATAGATTTGGAGCAGAATTAGCCAATCAGACAAGACTTCGGCTTCTTTTGCAGGGCCTATCAGTATGCTGTTTCGTTTCTCCTCCTCCTCCTCCTCTCTCTTTTTTAGTCAATAGACTTTGAACAGTTCAGTCAAATGTGAAAGGAATGTCAAAGAAACAAAATACGTTGTCGTCAAATCAAATCCTCAAAAGATCATGCTTCACCTCCTGGTATTAACAATATAATGTTTGTTTGAAAGCTTTTTATAGCTTCTCGATGAGAATCAAAGTCAGGATAGGAATTAAAAAAAAAAAAATGGTACACAGGTGTTAAGGCTGATCAGTGAAGTTGTTGGCCAGAAGTAAAAAAGACTGGTTAGTGAAGTTATGGTTCAGTTGGAAGAATCTGTATCTCCAAATGGAATCGTAACTTCACTTAACTAGCAAGTCCTGGCAGCTTCCAATTTGCTTTGACAATAAACAGTAATGGGTAATGATGGCCCAAAAAAAAAAAAGGAGTGATAAGGAATAAATTAAGATTTTCAATTTTAAAAATGAAATCATATTTATATTGTCAGTGTATAATAACATGATTCCTCTAGAGCGTGTATCCATCCTTACAGTCATCCAAAGGTTGTGAATCTAGAACCCTGGCTGTCCGTTTCAATTCAAACAATGATCGAATTGAGCTGCCTGCAATGGTCTTCGTCGGTGACGTTCTCTTTTCTTTTGTTATTTCTGTTAAACTTAGTATGCCTCATATAAGAATTTAATTACAGAGTAATTTCAGAAAAATAGTAAATATGGGAACAAAAGTGACTGAAATACCAAACAAATCCTCAATCTAACTTTTAATATTTAGAATCCGAGAGAGTAAAAAAAAATTCCCCATAACTCCTTTTATAAGCCGTGCAAATTGTAGGTGCATAAGTACATAAATAGTTAATATTTATAAACAGATCTTTTAGTCCGCCAGCCAAATGGGCGTCCCGTTTGTCAAAGGCCTTGATCAGGATATATCAAACCAAACTAAAAAAAAAAGTTTCTTTTTTAGGCATTTGTCAACTACTTCTGGGCTACTAACCACAGTTCTCTAGAGGGACATTTCTTAATTAATCCCTTAAAGTCCTGATCATTCTGGGAGATTCTTTGTGCACAGTAATATTCCTGGAGAGTCGGATGAAAAATAAAGGAACCAACTTGCTGTTAGAGGTCTCATTCTTACAGCTGCGGATACCTTCCCTCATAATGTGGCTTTCTGATGTTAGGTGCCTTCTTCACGCTCCAAAAGGACCTACATTTTGTTAAATGCTGAGCCTTCAAGATGGTCCTTCTGATTTTCGTGGAAGCAACTCCCTTTCATGAGTGTTTTTCCCATTTTCGTTGGCTTCAGATCTGGGTCTACAAAATGAGTATATACTTCAATAGTTGTGTTCTCTCTGTGTGACTATATGACTCACTGAAGAAAATGGTTCCAAGATTGGATTTTTCTTCCTGGTGGACGAAGGAAACCCAGAAAGGAACGCCTGTGGTAGTGAAAATGGAGAATCCCAGTTTCTCTGTGGTAGATATTAATGGTGCTGACCCGGCGTTTCAACCAATAGAGAAAAGCAGAGGCAAGAATGCCAGGCAAGTGACTTGGGTTTTGCTTCTCAAGGCTCGTCGTGCTGTAGGTTGTGTCACATGGCTCGTTCATGTTCTGAGGGCATTCACTGGTGGTATTAAGAAGAGGGTGATTCACAGGCAAGGAGTGGATGTGGAGAGTGATAAGCTGGTCAAGGGGAGGTTACTATTTAGGATCATTAGGGTGTTCTTAGTGGCATCCTTGGTGATTCTGGCTTTTGAGGTTCTTGCTTACTTCCAAGGATGGCATTTTCGAAATCCCAGATTGCACATTCCTCGGACCTCGGATTTGGAAGGGTTGCTCCATGTGGTTTATGTTGCGTGGTTAACATTTCGTGCTGAGTACATTGCTCCCCCCTTACAGGCACTTTCAAGGTTTTGTGTTGTTCTATTTCTTATCCAATCCGTGGATCGTATGCTGCTTTGCTTGGGCTGCTTTTGGATTAGATACAAGAAGATAAAGCCAAGGATTGATGAGGATGCTTTCAGAATTGATGATACTGAAGGATCTACATGTGATTATCCCATGGTTCTTGTCCAAATTCCTATGTGTAACGAAAGGGAGGTAAAACATAATTTACCTTACTTGCAGTGTTTTAAAAATTAGAAGAATTCATGTTACAATCGTATAGGAAAAAGAGGAGGGTGATAATTATTTGTACAGGCAGCTGCATTTTTTGTTTGCACGGATATTGCCATCTAGAGAGAAACATTGTAATTGAAAGATCATAAGTTTCTTAAATGTTATTATTTGAATCTTTAATGATCAGAAGCATAGATTATTTCCTTAGGTCCTGACTAAACAACTAGAATGATCCATTCCTTTTTGTCAGTTTTGGAAATAAACAACCCTTCCTTGATAAAGACAGGATTCTATCCTTCCTGCGAAAGCTTGTTGATCTGTTAATCAATCTGAAGTAACATATCAAGATCACTGGATAGAAGTTTGATGTTTCGGTTTCTGGACTTTCTGAGCTCTTGCAGGTGTATGAACAGTCTATTTCTGCAGTCTGCCAAATTAATTGGCCAAGGGACAGCCTACTGATTCAAGTTCTTGATGATTCTGATGATGAGAGCATACAGTGGTTAATCAAGGATGAGGTCGCTAAGTGGAGCCAAAAAGGAATCAACATAATCTATAGGCATCGCTTAGTGAGGAAAGGTTATAAAGCTGGCAATCTCAAGTCTGCAATGAGCTGTGACTATGTGAAGGATTATGAATTTGTTGCAATTTTTGATGCGGATTTCCAACCAAATCCTGATTTTCTCAAACAAACTCTGCCATATTTCAAGGTTTAAAAAAGAGAACATCCAGCATTTTCAGCAAGTATTTTTATTCATTGAAGTGTGTTCAGCTTATTTTACTCCGTGTGCGCCCTTGTTTTATTACAGAACAATCCCGAACTAGGTTTGGTCCAAGCTAGATGGGCTTTTGTGAACAAGGACGAGAACTTGTTGACTCGGCTGCAGAATATTAACTTATCCTTCCATTTTGAGGTGGAGCAGCAAGTCAATGGGATATTTCTTAACTTTTTTGGTTTCAATGGAACTGCTGGTGTTTGGAGAATCAAAGCTCTAGAGGAGTCTGGAGGCTGGCTTGAGAGGACCACGGTAGAAGATATGGACATTGCTGTACGAGCTCATCTCAATGGTTGGAAATTCATCTTCCTGAATGATGTCAAGGTGATAATGATCACCTTCTCTTAATGAGCATGTTACTATATATCTGAATGATTCTTTTGTAGCATGAAATGACTAGTTATCTTACAACTGTGTGATCTTCACTTTAAAAATTCCTTTGAAATTTTCAGGTACTTTGTGAAGTTCCTGAGTCCTATGAAGCTTATAGGAAGCAGCAACACCGCTGGCATTCTGGCCCTATGCAACTTTTTAGGTTGTGTCTGCCAGCAATTTTTAGAGCTAAGGTATATCTCACACTCTTAAAGTGATAGAAAAGAAAAATACAAAGGAGGAAAAGTCCTTAGGACTCGCAAGTATTGTTTAATAATTTGTTTATAACGCGCACTGCCTCAAGAGCCTTAACTTCACTACTGCAGGTATCAGCATGGAAAAAAGCGAACTTAATACTATTATTCTTCCTGCTGAGGAAACTCATTCTTCCTTTTTACTCCTTCATCTTATTTTGCATAATTCTCCCTCTAACCATGTTTGTCCCAGAGGCAGAACTTCCTCTTTGGGTGATCTGCTATGTGCCTGTATTTATGTCTTTCCTCAACATTCTTCCAGCCCCAAAATCTTTCCCTTTCATTGTCCCCTATCTCCTTTTCGAAAACACCATGTCTGTCACTAAATTCAATGCAATGGTATCTGGACTCTTCCAACTGGGTAGCTCTTATGAATGGATTGTCACCAAGAAGGCTGGGAGGTCATCTGAGTCTGATCTACTGGCTGCTGCTGATACTGAAGCGAAATTGATGCAACAAATAACAAGCTGTAAAAGCTCTTCTGAGTGTGAACTCGGCGAATCAAACCAAATTAAGGATCAAAAAGATGCAGCAGTGCCTGTTAAGAAAGCTAACAAGATATATGTAAAAGAGCTGACTTTGGCATTCCTTCTTCTCACAGCTTCAGCTAGGAGTCTTTTATCTGCACAAGGAGTTCATTTTTACTTTTTACTCTTTCAAGGGGTTACCTTCCTCCTTGTGGGCCTTGATCTAATTGGAGAGCAAATGAGCTAAGTTTTGATTTATTACACATACCTCCTTATACAGAGCCATATTGCATTCTAGAAGCAGGACACTGCATGCAGTGGATGAGATTATACTTTTCGTCTTCTCATGTTTGTGGTAAATTATTACCGTCCTTCTGGACGAAAGAACACAGCAAATACTCTTATTTGCACAATTCATCCCCAGAATTGTAGGGCATTGGTCATTAGGCTCTTTCATGGGTATTGAATTCTTCTTGTTGCTGGGAGCTGCAAAATTTGATGGTCCCTTCCTTGTTCTTTAGTCAATATCTGTTCTTGAAATTCAGGTAATCTGTTATTACCATTCCAGAGACAAGTGGAGTGGAAGCCCGATGTTACTTGATACTTCTTTTGAAATATATTGCCTTCCATTTTTTCAATGATGAATGGGACAGGTCAAACATCCTTCTGTAAATGAATTCTGTTTATCTAATATAAATTTCATTTGCTTGGTCCACTATCTAAAGGAGGCTTGATCTTTGATTATGTTATGCCTCTCTTGTAGAGTCACCGTCCTAAATCTGATTTTGGGTTCCCAGCAATCTTAACTTCAAACTTCAAATGTGTTTTACGGGGTTTGAATGTAAGAAATACGTAACTGATAATACAAATGAAATAATATATTTAATAATGCACGTTAAAGAACCAGGTGGATGAATATGATTAAGTAACGAATTTTCATGGCTTAAAACTTCTGGTATAGGATCTTCCAATTGGTTGTTGGATGCAGCAGACACTACTCCAAATCTAAAGCCCATTAACCCATTCCCGCCCGTCACAAAAATCCATATGCGCAGGTATCTTGAAGGGCATACATTATTTAAGATTTGCGTAATTGAGTTGTGATTGTAAAAAAAAAAGGGAAAATTTCACTCAAGGACCGCTGAAGGCAATTAACTTCCAAGAGCCCCCAAAACAATCTGAAAAGCCACTGCAGGACCGTGGGGGCAAATTGAAATTAACTTCAAGACCAAAAAGACAGTATTGCCCCTCAAACTATTACTCTGAAATTTGAAGCCTTTTCTCTCTCTCTCAACTCCCGATATCTGAAGCGCCTCTCCCTCACTCTAAAAATTTCAGTTTGTGCAACGAAGGAGATCGCTCCCCTCACCTCGCTACTGTTAAATATTTATTTGTGCAGTATTTGTGATCCATTGCTACTAGTATTCCGTCGGTAAAAATAAACAATGCGATCGTGTGAACAGTCAGTAATATATGTGTTTTATTTTTTGGGAAATTTTCGTTTAAGGACCGCAATACATAATTAATTTCAAAGAGCCCCCAAAAATTTCTAAAATTTCACTGCAGGACCAAGGGGCAAACTGATATTAATTCCACAAAGAAAATGACGCTATTGCCCCTCATAATACTTATTGCAGGGTGACATGTAAATGGACTAATTTCAGTTGTAAATAAAGGTATGTATGTTGCAAATTGACTAGTCCCACTTGTAAATGGACTCTCTCACACTTATTCACTCACAGACACCTTTTTTAGGTGAAGGAGGTGATCTGTAAATGGACTAATTCTAATTGTAAATAAATGTATGTATGTTGCAAATTGACTAATCCCACTTGCAAATGGGCGCTCCCACACTTGTTCACTCATGAAGACCTTTTTCAGGTGAAGGAAGTGACATGTAAATAGACTAATTCCAGTTGTAAATAAATATATGTATGTTGCAAATTGTCTAGTCCCATTTGCAAATGGGATATCCCACACTTGTTCACTTAGACACATTCTTCAGGTGAAGAAGATAATATGTAAATGGACTAATTTTAATTGTAAATATATCTATGCATGTTGTAAATTATCTAACCTCACTTGCAAATGGGTTCTCCCATACTTGTTCACATGAGGGGCAATAGGGTCATTTTCTTTGTGGAATTAATATCAGTTTGCCCCTTTGGTCCTGCAGTGAAGTTTCAGAAAGTTTTGGGGGCTCTTTGAAATTAATTATGTACTGCGGTCCTTAAACGAAATTTTCCCTTATTTTTTTCCCTGTTTGTTTGTTATGCTGTTGCTTGTTGTCACGCACTTGAAGCACTTTGTACTCATGGAGCTCGGAACAATACGGATTTTCTTAGTTAAATAAAAGTGATATTTTTAAAATAATTTATAATCAGTTGTTAATCCGAAAGATCTAAACTTATTCAAAGAAAAATTTCTGATGGAAATGCGTGTTGAATCTGTGCACAATAAGCCGATGCTCTGGATTATAAGCAATTTATTTTGTATAGTGCTATGAATAGATGGAGAATTTCATGATGGTACTTGGAGGTAAACTGCCCTAAGTACTGAACTTAAACTAGCCAGCGACTATATAAATGTATGAACAAATTAATCGACTTGCACATGGACGTATTTTTATTGTTAATGTATGTATCCTTATTGCAAAGTTCCTAATTCTACTTGTGAACAATCACTTCCAGACCTGTGAATTGATGTGTTTAATTTTTTGAATGAAATAAATCTACTTGCAAAAGGACGTATTTCTATTGTTAACGAGTGTATCCGTGTTGCAAATTTTCTAATTTCACTTGTGAACCCTCACTCTCAGACTTGTGATAAACTTTTTTTAATTGAACTAGCTCACTTGCAAATGGATGTGTTATTCTTATTAATATACATATCCTATTTGCGAATTTTCTAATTTCAGTTGTAAATAATTCCTCCCAGACTTGTGAATAATCATGTTCAACTTCTTGAATCCAACTAGCTCACTTATAAATGGACAAATTCTTGTTGTTAATATACTTATCCTTCTTGCAAATTGTCTGACTTTAGTTGCAAATAGTTCCTCCCAAACATGAATTATCATGTCCAACTTCTAGAATTCAACTAGATCACTTGCAAATAGACGTGTTATTATTGTTAATATACATATTCGTATTGCAAATTGCCTAATTCCACTTGTGATTAGAGCTCTTCAGACTTGTGAATAATCATATGACTTTTTTAGTTATATTAGCCTATTTGTAAATGGACGAGTTTCTCTTGTGAATCAATGTATCTTTATTGCAAATTTTCTAATTCTAATTGCCTTTATGACAACCAAATACCCATGACATCAAAGTGTTAATCAACGTATCCTTATTGCAAATTTTCTAATTCGAGTTGTCAATAGTACATCACATACTTGCAAGTTAGTGGGGAAAGACAGCAAATTGTAATTAATTGACATGTAACCTACTCATAAGAAGAATAAGTATATTAACAGCAAGAATTTGTCCATTTATAAGTGAGCTAGTTGAATTCAAGAAGTTGAACATGATTATTCACAAGTCTGGGAGGAATCATTTACAACTGAAATTAGAAAATTCACAAATAGGATATGTATATTAATAAGAATAACACATCCATTTGCAAGTGAGCTAGTTCAATTAAAAAAGTTTATCACAAGTCTGAGAGTGAGGGTTCACAAGTGAAATTAGAAAATTTGCAACACGGATACACTCGTTAACAATAGAAATACGTCCTTTTGCAAGTAGATTTATTTCATTCAAAAAATTAAACACATCAATTCACAGGTCTGGAAGTGATTGTTCACAAGTAGAATTAGGAACTTTGCAATAAGGATACATACATTAACAATAAAAATACGTCCATGTGCAAGTCGATTAATTTGTTCATACATTTATATAGTCGCTGGCTAGTTTAAGTTCAGTACTTAGGGCAGTTTACCTCCAAGTACCATCATGAAATTCTCCATCTATTCATAGCACTATACAAAATAAATTGCTTATAATCCAGAGCATCGGCTTATTGTGCACAGATTCAACACGCATTTCCATCAGAAATTTTTCTTTGAATAAGTTTAGATCTTTCGGATTAACAATTGATTATAAATTATTTTAAAAATATCACTTTTATTTAACTAAGAAAATCCGTATTGTTCCGAGCTCCATGAGTACAAAGTGCTTCAAGTGCGTGACAACAAGCAGCAGCATAACAAACAAACAGGGAAAAAAATAAAACACATATATTACTGACTGTTCACACGATCGCATTGTTTATTTTTACCGACGGAATACTAGTAGCAATGGATCACAAATACTGCACAAATAAATATTTAACAGTAGCGAGGTGAGGGGAGCGATCTCCTTCGCTGCACAAACTGAAATTTTTAGAGTGAGGGAGAGGCGCTTCAGATATCGGGAGTTGAGAGAGAGAGAAAAGGCTTCAAATTTCAGAGTAATAGTTTGAGGGGCAACACTGTCTTTTTGGTCTTGAAGTTAATTTCAATTTGCCCCCACGGTCCTGCAGTGGCTTTTCAGATTGTTTTGGGGGCTCTTGGAAGTTAATTGCCTTCAGCGGTCCTTGAGTGAAATTTTCCCAAAAAAAAAAGTAATGCCTTTTAAGGGAGCTGCCCATCCCTCATTCTACTTATGATTTTGTAGCCAAGAAGATCGTTTTTCTTTTTAGTGGAAACTAGACAGAATTCCTCAACTGATAGCTAAAAACTAATAGTCCCAAGACATTCGAATCCGATAACTAGAAACTAATATTCTTGAGATATTCGAATCCAAAACATCATATTTAAGAGACTCAATCATCTATCAATTATAGGGCTGTGCAAAAACCCGGTGGTCCGGTATGGTCCGGTCCAACCCGAACAAACCCGGTCCAGTCTAGTCCAAAAAAAATTGGCCCGAAACAAGACTGGACCAGACTGGACCGGACTGGTCTCATCGGGCTGGACTGGACTAGGGACTGACCCCTCAGACCAGTTGGTCCAGTCCAGTCTAGCCCGATTTTTTTAAATTATTATTTATATAATTTTAATTTGATTTAATTTTTCTATATAAATTTTTTATCTATTCAAATAATTAAGATTTATCTATTAACTTTCAAAGTAATGAGCATGCATATATATTTTCTACAATTTAAGATCTATATTGATGAGAATTAATTAATAAAACATGACTTCATTGGGAAATTGAAAAGGAATGATCAAATTTGATAACTTTTGAATTAAAATATGTGCAAAATTTTATATAGTAAGTTACAATCTTGCCTCTTATTGAAGAAAAATTTTTTTAAAAAAAAAATTAAAATTAGCTCTGGACTGCCTGGACTGGTCCAGGCAGTCCAGAGGACCAAGTCCAGTCCAACCCGACCTCGGGTTGGCACTGGACCGGACCAGACCTCGGGTTGTTTTTTTCAGCCCGAGGTCTTTACTGGACCAGACTTCAGGTTGATAACAAACCCGGTCCAGTCTAGTCCATGCACACCCCTAATCAATTATACCGGATTTTGTGGGTAAGGTTCATGCTTTTTTTTTACATTTGATACATTGCCCATGCATTAGATTATCGGAGAGTTTATTTCTATTTTATTTTAGCACACTAAGCACGTGTGTATATTTATGTAACAAGCGAATGTTACAACATAATAGTCACTACAAGATATTTTCGTCCCCGACTAGCCCCCCCAAAACTACCTAGATATGGAAT